TCTACCGATCCTTATCTTCAATCAACTTCTACTCGGAGTCTCAGTACTTTCAGTACCAGGAGTGCTAAGCCGCCGAGCTACCGGTCTACACTTGCATTTTCTTATTACGTCGACTCCATTTGCACTTCACTATCTCAAATAAAACCCGAAAACATAGTTTACCGTGCGTTTCTCTATGTCTTCCCACTGCATCATTATATCCATTATTCTGTACTCTCTGTCCATTCTCTTTATAAAAAAACGACTCTAAAAATAGATGTATACTTACACTTCGTTACTTCTTTTCGGTCCACCTTCCGTATTTACTTACGTTCTTTCGACTTACCTACGAATGGATGAGGGCAGAGTGAAGGGGAACAGAGTCATCCTCACTGTTGTATCGCGGTATCAAAGTCGTGTCTTTTGCACACTTTTTGTCGCGGCAGGTTATCGGCGCTGGCACGCTTCGAATCATCCATGTTGTAATTCTCAAATAGTTCCTTCTCAGCTACCTCATGGACTTGAAAGTGATGTTGATCAGGAGATTACGAACTGCGTGATTTGCAATCCCAGACACAAGGTGTTGACGGAGCTTGAACCCAGCCGGTTCGGCAATCCTGTGCAAAATTAAGGAGTCGCTTAAGCCTGAACAACAACAATGTCCCTCACCGTAGTTGTAGCGACTGCTTTGCTTCGTACGCTTTGCCCGACTACGAAAGATCTTGAGCTTCCTGATGCTGTTGTTCTGTCCCGGGAAAGCAAATTGGACAAAGAAGGACAAAGAGTACGTAGAGTTCCCCATCCAAGACACAATCTGGTCAAGTCTATGCAATGACCTTGGCTATTGATGGGCGTCGCGCTTGCATAAACGTGTCCGCGAACAAAGAGGAGCATCTGCGTCTGGGCCAAACCGATTCTGTCGAGAACATCGTCCGTGGAATATGGGGTCGGATGGAACGTTTTTCAGCTCTACGGAAAGAGGAGAATATTGACCGGGATAAGGCTAGGTCTGTCACGAACGGAATCGTTCATTTCCTTTTGTCGACTCATTTCCAGAAAATGCTTGCCCGTTTCAAGAAACGGAGTAGGTACTGCGAACGATTTTTCGATCTAATGCAGGAGTCTGGGCGCTGGGAGTCCCTTTCTCAGGACCAAAAGTACTTTATTGATGCCGCGAAACTGATCTACAATCAATGCCTTGAGTTCTTTTCATTAACAGAACCACTGGATCCTTTTTCTACGTCGCTATTGTATTCCGTGTGTAGCAAACAGGGAACGGCTCTCGCCGCAGCTCAAAAGAGATACGCCTCCATGTATTGGCTGAGACCACTTGAATCGGCCGTGGAGCAAGAAATGGCATCCAATGATGGTGAGCGCTACTACTCTCGTGTTGCTTGCTATGTCATGACCTCTTTCTGCAGATTTGGCCCCTAGTATGCGATTTGATTTCGAACGATATATCAATAAGCTACTCAGTCCCTGCAACCATATACGGAATTTATTCTCTGCATCATCACATTCTCCCTACAATTCTGCGACTTCACTACCCCTTGATGTTCAGACTGTTGTTTCGGATATCGAAGCAGTCTCTTTTGACATTCCCTCCGAGTCTGACATCACATCTTGGCTTGATCGCTTGTATACGCTCATCCCAAGGGAAGATAGAGACGACGATCACCAATCTTCAATCGTCCGCTCCGTATACTCCACCATTGTCAACCAGCTCTCCAGAGGCGGTAACGCAAAGCTGAACATTCAGGAGCCCCATTGCAAATGTGTACTCGTTCGCTATCATCATCTTCATAGCCATGGTCAGTTCGGACCTTATCCTTACATCGCGGTATCAAAGTCGTCGTGTCTTCTTTGCGCACTTTTTGTAGCGGCCTATCGGCATCACGCTTCGAATCAACCGGAACTAACAGCGTTCGACATTGCGGGTTGTAATTCTCAAATAATTCCTTCTCAGCTACCTCTTGGACTTGAAAATGATCTTGATCAGGAGATTACGAACTGTGTACTGGAATCGATTGACAAACTGATGGTACACTACCTCTCAAAGAAATTATACCAGTACAAGCATGCAAAAAAGCTCTCACAGAGTACGACTGGGTCATCAGATTCGGATGATGAGTACTTGCAGGAATATGTGGATTCTTTCATCATTAGTAGTAAGTGATTCAAATGATATGATTTACCGCCTACTGACGCGGTCACAGAACAGGAACGCAAGGGAAAAAATGTGTAATAGTCTTTCTTACTGATCAAAAGTGTATTACGAGGCCGAATTTATGAGGACTCGTCCTTACGCTGAGGTGGCAGTGTCATTTTCCGTTCACTATCTCCGAATGGAATGATTACCGGTTGATACCGGGACACCCGGGTAAACTGGTTACCGGAAACACTTGACCCGTTTTAAGGACATATCCCCGTTTGGTTATTTAACTTTTCGGATACTCGGCGCTTACGGTTTACAGGTTACAGGCCTCGTACATGCCATGCGCAAGCAATGGCCCACTTCTTTATTAATACACTCGTGCTCAACTGTGATGTCGTGCGACTTCACTCTTTTGGGTGAATATCATAGCGATGTTATGGTTGGGTACCCACGGCACGCATTGATGCCATGTGTGTTGCGTGGAACCCGGTCGCATCCTTAATGGGTCCACAGTACCGGTTATCCATCAGCAAATGGGGGCAAAAACTTGCGAGGTTTCGGGCCTTGTAGCCGATTTTCCGCTGGCATGGCTAGTACATTCTTGTAAGGAACCAAACCTAAAGGTTCGGGAACACAAAACCACCGATACCTGGCTGGACATACATCACCTATTCAATCCCGCGAGGCTCCACTCCATGGGTTCTTAATTTTCTCAAGACACTGTAGCAAAAGCTATTAGTCCAATGATTGCATTTTTGGATAGAATATTCAGGAGCATTCTGAGGTAGTTTAACATACTCAGAAAGTAGAACCAGTTAAGCTTTAACACGATTCACAGCAATACTCCTAGCCATCATTTAGATCAATACATCTAAAACACTAAGCACACTGTCAGAGAAACTTAGATATCATTATCCGACACTGCCATGATGTGAATGATATAAAGCATGTCTGTATTCTGTAGCCTTCTGTCCATGATGGATGGCCCTGCAGCTCTGCCTTCCCTTGGTCCTACCTTGGGAGTTGTTGTTCTTGGGGTTCTTTTCTCATCTGTTCTTTATGGAATATCATTGCTACAGACGTTCAACTATTTTCATGCTGGATTTACTCAAGATCGAAAAACTACCAAAGTTTTAGTGAGCAGTTTTTGGGATGTTATTTTTCACTGCTGACTATCAAAATCAAAAAGGTCATTGTAGTCTGGTAAGTGTCTTCACTCTTGGTTTGCATTTTCATCCCTTACAAATTGTTATAGCATTCTGGAAACAGTGCATACTGGTTTCCTGTGGAGATATATATACTCAAGCACAGTGGAAGACTTTGGAAATGCAAAAATGGCAGCAAACATACATTGGGAACTTACCTATTCAGTCCCAGTGGCAAATGTTGTTGTGTGCATTGTTCAGGTGAATGGTTTGGGCTTTCTGTTTTTGTCAGGATTTATGTTCAATTTCTGGCTTTTTTTCTAAGTCATTTTATGCATACAGAATATACATTCTCTCAGGAAATAGGTGGTATCCATGTGCCAGTATTCTAATGGCTATATTGCGACTGGCTGGTGGAATTTACATCCCAATCAGTGCAACTTCAATGCCTGTTCAAACTTATGTTGTCAAGTTTGAGTGGCTCGTAATAGCAACTATTTCACTTAGCGCTGTTGTGGACACTGCAAACACTATTTCCCTGTGCATCTGTTTGAGAAAAAGTTTTACTGTCCAGAAAAGGTAAGATTTGAATTTCATCTAGGGGATACGCGTTTTTCAGCCAATGACTGTTACAATGTAATTTAGTACTCAGCGACTCATTGAAAAGATTACTCTATGGGCCATTGGTGAATTTTTTTTGACAAGATGATATGCTGATAGATTCATATTGTTGCTTTCAACAGAAACTGGTCTAATTACAAGGTAACAGTTATTCATTATTTCAAATGCATGGTATTCCCTCATTGCAATAAATGTTTTAGTTTATTTGGAATAGTGGAAATAATCTTGGTGAAGGCTGCATAAATCATTTCCATTTACTTACTGAACAAAATTCATCTCCCAGCTTACCAGTAAAACTGAGTCTTGTAAGTTCCTTTATACTGTTTACAAGTTAACTTCTGACTTTGTGGTGCACATTGTAGTTGTATGGCTCTTCTTTTGGGTCCAGACTGCCAAATGTAAGCCGCTTCTTTGTATTGTTGACAGAAATTAACGATTTTTGTCTCAAGTATATTCAAATGGTTTTCTTGCCTCGTAGGTAGCATTATCTTTTTAAACGATCAAATGTGATGACGCAATCTACTACTTTGCTTGATATTAGGTTAAATGGTCGAACAAGACTGCGGACCATTCAGACACAACATGAATTTAGTGATATTGTCTTCAGAGGGTCACAATCAAGATCATTGTCTGCCAATGTTAGTGATAATTCTAATTATCCTTCTAACTTCATTTATTTACTCATACAAAACATCAGCTAGATGCGGATCGACCACATTGGCTCGAGAGAAAGCATCCCAGCCAATGATTTCCCAGACTCGGCTATGATAAGATCGAACGAAAAATTTCTGTCAGGTTGAGGAAAAGGGTAAAAGCTTACCGGTTAACGCTATGTATTCACATATGTATGGTCAAAAAATCCTCCAAACCCCGAGCTTGGGTCCAGAATCCGAACCTGAGAGGGTTTATGTATGTACATACCCTTCTCCGTGTCAATACCTGTCCCGACTCGGAAGAAGAAGAGACTTCAGTACATATTGCGTTCATTACCGATACTAACTGATACCGTGCCGGTAACCGCAGTTTGCCCACTGCAAACATTCTAGCAGTACCTTTTTGACAGACATTATACAGGTCTAACAAGTGATTCTCATGTAACATTCCATCGGTGTAGTGGCTAACATTATCTCTCATTTTTGATTATGTAATCATGAGTGCCCGATAGCCCAGGGTTCGATTCCCTGTGATGGAATCAAATCGGAATGCCTACATCGTGATTACTCAAGTTTTGATTGACCCCGTCTTGCCCGGCTTGTTTCGGCTTGTACAAGCATATAAAGCCAGGCAAGCGACAAGTTGACCAGCTCAATGGGTTTTTCTCACAAGCTGATTTGATCTATTAATTTTTTAGCGAGAAAGCTGAAAAGCAATACCTTTTCAATACATTTGCTATACATTTCTAGATTGCAACTTGTTAACAAGCCAAAAAGCCGAGCAAGCCGGGCAAGGAAAACACGGCTTTCCACGATGTATTCTTTTTACCTCAACCATGTACGCACGAATCAACATCATCGTGAAATCACTCAATTTGATTGCCTGACTTGACAGGCTTGTTAGCCTGACGACAAGCTGTGAGCCAGGCAACGCAATATTTTTCTTTATTGATTTTGAATAGAATCATATAATAAAAAATGAACTGACTGAAAATTTGACTGGGCTGGACCCCTTGTTACTTGATCCCTTGAACAAGCTGAAACAAGCCGTGCAGCATAGGGTCAATTAAAACCTGAAAAATCACAATGTTGTTGTCATAGTTTATAATTCTAGCTTTTTTTTTTTGAAAGTAGACTTTACCAGTTTTCCAACAAATACTTCCTCTGACCAAATTTATGTGGGTTATTATGACAAGAAGAGTATGTAATGGTAGTCCTGAAATCCTGAAAGCTTTGTTGCATTCAATTCAACTTACACCTCAGGCTATAATGTGCAAGTAGATCATTCTCTTTTCATGGTCACTAGTTACAACTACTATTTCAAGGGAGTGTTTATCTACCACACCAGGTCACTCCAAGCCTGAGAGTGTACCCTTCTCCATGTCAAATACCTATTCATGTCACATCCGACTTAGAAGAGGAGGGCATCCGTGAGATACAATACTGGTACCACAGCCTTTCTTTTCCCACCAGTAACCTCGTTCTCTACATTTCCTTCCTGAACCCTTGGTTGGCAATACCTTTTGACAAGATGATATACATAGTATGTGCTATCCAGGTCTGACAAGTGAAAGTAGCATTCTATAATGGTGTAGTGGCTAACATTATTGCCTCTCATATGAATACCATGTTGAAAAGCGCGATAGCCCAGGGTTTGATTCCCTGTGATGGAATTGAGAGAGTCTAGGGGTTCTGTTTTTGCCTTTTTTTTGTTCTTGATGAATTTTGTTTCTATTATTACAATACCAAAAAATTTCATGGTATCTTCATCAAGTGTCATCATCACATTGGGATAAGCGCTTGTCCTTGTCCTCCACACATCAGCAAAATGACCACCGGACTTTTCGGTACTTTTGAGAACTTTTTTGAGTGTTTACATAAAGTCCAAAAAGTCCAAAAAGTCAAAACGTCCGAGTTCTTAATAAAGGATAAATGTACTTTTATAACGGAAAAAAGTGTTGCTAAGTCTGACACTAAGAACAATAAAAGTAGCGGAAAGTGGATATAAAAGTACGTCTCTAAGGGCCGATGCTGACTTCCGGCAGGATCTCCCATAGAGTTCACCAGTACTGACATTGCGTATTATATACTTTTGATTACATCGCAACATTAATCTCGAAGTTTAATCTCCATTCTTCAATAGATGGTCATAGTCATCAGGTTTCTGTCCAATCTCAGGCGGCACTTGTTCTACTAAGGCTTGGGCAACCAATTCGCCGGGGCCAATTTCTCACAAGTTTGAAATTTCGCAACTGGTTGCTGTCGGGGTAGTGTTATACTTTTTCCTCAAGTCATCCCATATATTTGCGTTTTTTTTTATTGCGGTGCACACTTAAATAGAACGAAATAGAAATCACTTTTTGCACTAGGGAAGAGCTGGTTATCAACTCACTGCATTTGCTGATGCGAGTATTTACTCAAGTACGTTACAGGTCCTATTGTATATATACGTTATATGTAAGGAGTCAATAAATGAATAGCTGGGCAATACTCCAAAACCGAAAATTTGTCGTAAATGAATGGAAGAAAGTTAAATTTATATTTATTGGGGCTCTTTCAACCTTTTATATCTACACACAGAGTACTTATTCATGTAACTGCTTTGTAGTCTAGGATGAACAAAAAAGAAAAAGGACTGAAAAAGGGTTCACCTGAGTTAGATATTCTGAGGATACTTTGGACAGTATAACTATTATCTATGACAGAATTTTCCAAAAGGCGGAGCCCACACATCGAAGAGTAGTAATTAGCTTAGATGGCGTAACTTTGTGTGTGTGTATAGAGTGAGTTGTCCATTATGAGGCATAGAGCAGTCTCGGGAAGACCGTAAGATATTAACATGTGAACAGCGTGTGTGGTCTCGGAGTTCAGAACATGTTTGGAAGGAGCTCTTACCATATAGGAGGTGGCTAGTACTCATTCCATTCTTGTAAGGAACCAAATCTAGAGGTTTGGGAATAGAAAACCACCGATACCTCTACCTGGGCATACACCACCTATTCAATACCATGATAATCCAGCACTCCATCATAAAAGATACATATGGGCTGGCATTGCCTTCGGCATAGCAAAAGCGAGGTTGGAATTTAATGGCCAATACCGTAGCATTTTGTTCTCGGGCCAAATAAAAAGTCTATAGCCTCTAGATAAAGCATCACCACACCGGTACTCAGGATAACCGGCTGAGTCAACCGTGACTTTCCAAATGGATTTGGCAATTGTTTGAGATAGCTACATCCAGCATACGCCAGGACGAGACCTTCGGTAAATAAACCTCCGGCTTCGTAATGGTGTAGTAGCTGATATTATATGGTACTGTCTCGGCCAAATATAATTTTATCATATCTTAGAGGGTCATTATCATAGGTTCTTAACCACTATTTTCTCAAGATAGCATAGCAAAAGCCATGAATCCAATGACTGTATTCTGAGGTGGCTTAACATGCATAGCAAGTAGAAGCAGCTAAGCTTTAACATGGTAATAAAAGATATGGGCCATTGCCTTCGGCATGGCCGGAATTTCATGACCACATTTTGTTTTCGGGCTGAATGAAAAGGCTATAACTTTTAGATGAAACATCACCAAAGCGGCACCTAAAATTAAGTTAACCGGCTGAGTCAAATGACTTTCTAAATGGGTTTGGCAGTCGTTTTGACATAGCCACAATCCAGCGACCCAGGACAAGTAAGGACGAGACCTTTGGAGAACCTCCGGCCTCGTAATAAAATGCGTGGAAGAGGAATATGATCACATGTAATTTTAGCAAGCTAATTGTTGAAAATAAAAAAATACCTATGTATGTTTATGGACCAAAATATGTTTTTGCCCCACCTTATGTCTGATCAAGCTCATCAAAAAAATGCAAAGTCAACTCAAATTTACTAGCTGATATAGCTCACATTCATGACGAAATGTACAGGTATGGAAGAAAGGCCTGTGTAGGCAGCAAGGCAGCAGCCTCCTTAACCTACCTGGGGATTGAGAGTAAGAGCTGAGGCGATAAGACGATAGAAGTATCTCTGTTAAGAGTGCTAGAGTTACAGGATAACTACTGGGGTATTTATACTAAGTAACTACAATAAGTATCATATGATTATCAGCATAAGGCTGTCCATATCAATATGTACCGGGTGTATGTGGCTATTCTACATACTACGACTGTTCTATCAGAATGATCTGATAGAAGATGTGTTGCCACATAAATGTGGCAATGCGTTGATGGCATCTATAGAAGCGCCAATTCAACACTCCCCCTTGCTAAGCACCACGGTAGTGTGTGCAAGCATAGGTTGGCGCTAAAAGCAGCCAGGATTAGTCTGAGTAAATTTCAAGGCCGAGTTGCGCTCTAAAGCGCTCAAACTTCAGTCTGCCTAGATTTTTCGTGAATAAGTCTGCGGGGTTTTTGTCACCATCAACAAAGTAAATTTTGACAAATCCTTTGTCCACAACCTCACGGATGTAGTGATACCGAATATCGATATGTTTCGATCGTTTTTCAGTAACAGGATTTGAGGCGATGAAAATCGAGCCTTGGTTATCACCGTAGAGTGGAGTAGCATTTAGGTTGAAACCTAATTCACTCATAAGAGTCCGGATCCAAACAACTTGGCGACTACAGTCACTGAGTGCCATGTATTCGGCTTCTGTTGAGGATAGGGCAATAGTAGTTTGAGCCCTTGATTGCCAACTGAAGGTACCGGAAGCAAGCTTCAGGAAAAATCCAGTTTGTGATCGACCAGTAGTTGGGTCAGAAGCCCAATCAGAGTCTGTGCAGGCTGTTAAGCCTATACCTTTTGTTCCATCGTATACAAGAGAGTAGTTTCTTGTACCTATGAGATAGTGGCAAATATACAGCGCTTTGTCTAGGTGCTCTTGAGATGGGTTAGCAGCAAATTGCGCTAACTTGGTAACAGCAAAGGCTATGTCAGGTCGTGTGCCTAACATTATGTAGAGTAGAGATCCAATAATGATTTGAAATCTCTGGCGAAGTTCTGGGTTAACATCCAAAGGGTTTGGAATTGGATAGAAACCTGCAGGTAGTGGTGTCGGAGCGGATCTAGCATTTTTCATGCCACAGCGTTCAAGAACTTTTATAAGGTATTGGCGTTGATCTAAATAGATCTTGCCGTTTTTCCTTTTGATGTTCATGCGCAAGAATTCCTTGACATCACCAAGATCTCTGCATTCCCATTTCTTCATAAACTTAGCCTTTAGCTCGTTTACAAGACTCTTGTCTGATCCACAGAACAGAGTATCATCTACATATACCACGGCGAAAACTTTCAAGCCATTTGGTGCAGTGTAGACAAATATTCCGGCATCGGAACTGATTCGTTTGAAGCCAAGGTCACTCATGGACTTGTCTAAAGTTCGCCACCATGATAGGCCAGCTTGCTTTAGTCCATAAAGAGCTTTTCGTAAACGAAGTACTTTATGCTCTTGACCTTGAGCCTTGAAGCCCTCAGGCTGCTCCATGTAGATTTCCTCTTCGAGATCGCCATACAAATAGGCGTTGCGTACATCAACAGCAGAGATGTGCCATTTGAGTAACGCAGTTAGCGCAAGCATTAAGTGCACAGTTTCGAAGCGGACAACAGGGGAAAATATTTGGTCGAAGTCTAAACCTTCAACCTGTGAGAAGCCTTTACCAACGAGTCTGGCCTTTTTATGGCCATCTGATTTTTCATCAAAGACCCATCAATTCTTAATGACTTTCCTATCTTTAGGTCGGTCGGCGAGGTCATACACTTTGCGCTTGTGAAGTGCCTCAAGTTCTTCGCGGCAAGCGTTTTTCCATTCCTTTTGCTCAGCTTTGGGTAAGCTTGCAATGTCTCGGAAAGTCCATTCGCGAATGTTACGGACTGGATTACGATTTTTGACAGGGACTGCATGTGAAAGCAAGAAGTTGATTAATTCTACTCCCCCTTCATGGCATAGTTCTGCCATGTGTTCTTCAGGGTCTGATACGGGATTCTCAGTATCGTCTTGGCGTGGAGGTGCAGAACTAGGTCCGGGAACCTGTTCTGGCTGAGCAGGTGGTGCTGGGTTTGTCGACTTATCCCAGGGTTCATCATCACCTACAATCTCTTGCCACTGAGATGGGTCATCCGTTTCCGGTTCAACGTCTAGAGGGTTCCGATTATCACCATAGACATTATCAGGCCGTTGAGAAGATGGGTTCCTAATACGCGATGATCGCCTTGGTGGACCTGAAGGTGGTTCCTTTGCTCTTCCTCTACCTCTTGGCCTTCCTTTTCTAGGTGGCGGAGGTGGAGCAAGTGGTCTCGGCGTTGCCGGTGGCGTTTTAGGCGGACTCTGTTCCCTAGCGTCGTCATGTGGAGGGTCAGGTCTCCTTGGAGAAGGGTTATCACTGATACGCCTGTTATTGGTACACCAGTAATTTTGCGCATTTCCTACTAATTATGCATCCCGCTGGTGTAACCACTATAGTACTAAAGACCAACACTATACTAGTCAGACTCTGCATTCAGGATACACTCAAATGAGTCTCCTAATGTACTCCATTCACCGTCAATTGTTCTGTAACAAGTGTTATAACAGGCGGCGCTGCCTACGAGCTTTGCAGTCTCTTACTATTAAGTACGCCTCTGCGGCGCTACTTTCTGGAAACCTCGAGTTCTATAATAACTGTCCTATGGGCTTGGCTTCAGG